AAAGGAAACGGTATGATTTCTTGTATTTGTTGTTTTTAATTGTATTATAGATCTGTACAAATTTTACTTTGCAAGCTAAATTATTATATATAAACAATTTTTAAATGTTCATATTGTATACAAATTTATACAATATCCACAATAAAATATTCGTACAATATAATTCTTAAAACTAAATACATACATCTAATCTAAAACTTTATTGATATACATTGTGCTTTTATATTTGATATATATTGTGATTTTAGTTATATTAAATTTTTATTTATATCAATATTTATGTATATAATAATGTAATAATAATAATGTAATAATAATAGTATTAAATTTAGCATGAATAATGTTAAATACATAGTAAAAAATACATAGTAAAAAAATACATTGTCATTAACTTTTAATAGTTTTTTAATACAGGAAAAAGGTACTATGCTGGAAGCCTTAGAACAGGATCTACAGGAACAAGAAAAGAAGCGATGCAAATTATCAGCTGAAGTAAACAGTAATAAGGAAAATATTAAGGCTGTGAAAAAAACAATGGAGCACATAAAGATTAATATAACAGATGATAAAAATGCGCTTATTTTAAAAGAACAAAAATTGGAGAAAGTTGGAGGAGTTTTCCAGAATTTGAAAGAAATGTGCCAAAAAGATACCGAAGCAGTATTAGAGGCACAAGAAAAGTATCAGAAGATCAGTGCAGGTCTATTGGAGAGTGAAGATGGTGAAAATGCAACCTTAGAACAACAATTAATAAATGCTAAACAAAATGCAACGCAAGCACAAACCGAACTTAAACAATGTGAGATGACACTAAATCACAACAGGCAACAGTTGAATAAAAAACAAAAAGACATGCATAATACTGAGAATGAATATAAAAAATATCATGTGGACTTAGACAAGAAAGAAAAAGAATTAAAGTGTTTGGAAAATGAATTGCAAAAATTAAATTATAAAGATGGTTATTTCGAAGATTTAATAAATCAAAAAACTAAATTGATTGAAGAAATGAAACCGTTGCATGAGAAACTAGATCAATTTGAGATGAGACATCCTCGAACGAAATTCCAGTATCAAAATCCTGAACCTACTTTCAATACAAAATCTGTAAAAGGTATTGTATGTAACTTAATTGATTTAAAGGATAAAAGGAGTGCGTATGCCTTGGAAGTTGCTGCAGGTGGAAAGGTGGGTATATATATATATATA